AGTCGACATGTTTGCAAGTTATGAGCTGTATGCATATATAAAGCACATATTAAATTGTGTCTAGGTTCTCTTGATGAAGTGCTAATCAACCTCAATATATTTGGTCTTATCATGTTGTACTAGATTATGAGTTATGCTTATGATCGATTCACTGTCACAATTTAAGTGCATGGGGTCATTCCACTTGATTATGAGATCTTCTAAGATTCTCTTAAGTCATAGTTGCTCACATACCTTTTGAGCCATTGTTCGGAATTTTAACTATGTACTCGACCTTTAACTATATTCTGCTTTTTATTCTCCAAGAAACAAAGTTACTTCCTATGAAAACTTGTGGTAGATCTTCTATCCACCATTGACCTTGTACAGTGTACATCAATATAGATTTTTACAAGCAACTTGTCATTTTATTTGAACATGATACTTCTCTCGAGTGTCCTTTTTAGATAACATAGCACTTTATCAACTGCCTATAGGTACACTTCCGTAGGATTGTGCATGAACTGACGTATTATACTCGCAGCATAGACAATATCCGATCTTGTGTATAACAAATATATTTGTCTCCCAATCAATCTCTGACACATTTTCTTATCTACCGATCCATCCTCTTCTACTGGTCCCAATTTATGATTCGGATCGATTTAGAGTACTAGTTGGTTTACATGCTAGCTTGCCAATATTTCTTAATAGGTTTGAGTGGGTTACTTTAACTTCAAGGAAGTACTTTAACTTTTGCTAATTCTTTTATCTCGAATTCTTTTGTCAAACTTTTTTTTAGCATCAATTTTTTTTTTTTCGTCGTCCCGAGTTATAATGATATCATCAGCATATAATAGGAGAGCTGTAACTTTTCTTGAATCTGAGCACTTAATAAATAGAGTGTGATCACCTTAGGCTTGCTTATAAGATAAACCTATAATTATTTTCGCAAATCTGCGAAACCAGTTTATTCACTTCATCTGTTTCTATGGTGAATCTTGGTGGAATTTCCACATGAATTTCTTCTTGTAAATCTTTGTGTGGGAAAATTTTATTTACATCAAATTGTTATAGTTCGCAGTCAAAATGGGCAATGTAGAACAATAAGATTTGTACTATACTTCATCTTACTAGTGCGAATGTTTCTTGATATTTTATCCCATAAATTTGAATATAGTCTATTGCCACTAATCTTGTTTTATACTTCTCGATTGTCCAATTTTCTTTGTATTTTATTGTGGATATCACTTGCGTCCCTAAGTTTCTTTCGTTTGGACAAGTCTACAATTTTGTATGCCTAGTTCTTTTCTAGTGCATGCATTTCAACATATTCATGACATTTTTCCACTTTTCACAGGATAAAATCTTAAACAATGTAGTAGGAATAGACATTGCATTTAGACTCATGAGAAAATTTTTGAGATGGAGAACATCTAACCAAATGATAAAAAGTTTGAAATTGGGTAGAATGAATATTTACTCCATTCTCTAGTCCCTTTTCTGAGAGGAATAGGTAAATCCATCTCAAAAGGTAAAGAGTTCTTAGGAGTTACCTTATGCCCAGTACTCGATTCAGGCTCTTGAACTTGTTTTGGTTCAGGATCCAAATTTTTTCTTCTTGAGTACACCTGTATAAATCATGAGTCCTGTATAATTACTATGCCAGGCTCATTTTCAAGGTTAGGTGTTTTTGGAATTCATTTTCTGAGTTTTGGTATATTTGAGGTTCATTTTCTGGGTCTTGGGGCTATTAATTTTTTTTTTTTTTTTTTGAAATAATCTTGAGGCTACTAAGACTGGAAAGGTGTAGTGTTTGATGATAAGGAAGGTAGTGGGATATCAAGCATGAAGAAATTATTATCTTCTGACACAATCTGCCCCTGAAGATATAAAGAATGATTCAATTTCCGCATTTGTGACATGTACAGATACATAAAACTTTCTGATAGGTGGGTGATAACATTTGTATCCCCTTCAGGTGGATGAGTATTCCAGAAACATACATTTAATAGACCTTGGGTTAAGTTTCCCCTTTTGATGGTGATATATATGAAAATAGGCTACTCAAATACTCTAGCCATAAGGTGTTTGGTGACCCTTACCTCAGGGAAAAAGGTAAAGAGACTTTACATGGGACTTCAGAAGTCTAAAATGTTAGATGGAAACCTGTTTAGAAGACATGTCACACTTAACACTGCCTCTCCCAATATTGGTTAGTAACCTAGTGTTGAGACAAGAAGGCACGTGCAATACCAAGTAAATGACTATTTTTCCTTTCTACCATTCTATTTTGTTGTGGAGTGTGAACAAACAGGAAAACTCATGAATAATCCCCTCATTATGGGAAAAAGATGACAAATTTTCTTTTAATAGAAAAAAGGATGACAATTTCTTATTGAAATAATATTTAGCATTATTAGTCCGAAAGTGTTTCTACCCCGAATTAGGTTTTAATCATGTTGTGAAATTGAGGAAGGACTTAGCTTACTTCATATTTTTAATGGGAAGACCTAAGTTACCCATGTATCATCTATGCATGAAACAAACCATTTGTCTTTAGAAATATTGGGAATATTTGAAGGCTCCAAATATCATTATGAATCAAGGTAAAAGGAAAATGTTTCTTTTATCGCATGGAGAAAAGTTCACTCGTTTGTGTTTTGCCAATTCACATATGTCATAGTATAAATATTCATTATTGGAATATTTAAATAAGGAGAGAAACGTAACCTTAAAAGTAGAAAAAGATGGATGTCCCAATTGTATGTGGTGTAACCATATCTTCTCTTAGGTACTAGTAGAGAGGGCGGAAGCTAGCATCTCAGGTGTATCCAAGAAGTAAAAGCCATTTCATGCCTCAGCATGTCTAATCATCCTCCTCGAGATCTGATTTTGAAGTTCATGATGAGATGAAGAAAAAATCAGTTTACAATTGAGGTCATGTGATAATTTGGGCACTGAATTAAGATTTATACATTATCTGGGAATATGAAGCATATCAGTAAGTGTAAAGTGGGAACTAATCTTTATACTTCCAACTGCTGCTATGATCAGTGAACCATGTGCAGCAACTATTTTTCTTTTAATTACCAGGACATGGGATATAGGTGCTAAAGTATTTACAGGGTTTGGTTATGTAATCTGTGACTCCTGTTTATAATCCAGGATAATGCAAAAGGTTTGTCTAAGGCATTTGGTCCATGTGAAATAGAAAACGTACATGAGTGTGCCAATAGATCGGTACATGTGGGGTTTCTCGAAGGACTCAAGTGAGTATTTGGTCTTTCAATCTCTACTTAAAATTTACTAAGATTGCCATTTTGGGACTAGTGTCAGTGACCTGTGGAGTTGCTTATGGAGTGATCCCGAAAAATTAGGCAATAAAGGCCGACTCAATAGGTGAAATATACTGCTTACTGCAGCTAGACAGTGAGGACAGTGGCCAAAGGAATGGTTTATGGAGATTGAACAATGGCCAGCTGGTGCAAGGTCGACAAGGTAGGCATACAGCTGGATGGCTTGCCTGCAGCTGAGTGCTTGGCTGCGGGTGCTGAGTGGTGAAGGACTAGCTGTGTGCGACTGGGCTGCATTCAGATAGAGGCTGGACATGCAATTGTTTGGCTGGATGCGTCTACTGAGTGGCAGCTGGTACATGTTAGTTAGAGCAGTCTGTGGTTGGAGCAGGGCCTTTAGGTGCGACTAGAACAGGGCCAGCCGGTGGCTGCCCCGCTGGTGCAGTCACGCCCACCTGATGCAGTCACGCACAAAGCAGTGGTGCGCTTTCTCCAGCTATGGAGTGGTTGAAGCCTGCGCTGACGCCCACTCAGATCTGGTGTCCAGTCTGTGGTGCCCGTGCAGGAGTGTGACTAGTATGAAGAGTCGAGTGTTTTCCTATACTTCTATA